AAAAGAATTGAGGTTGGCAGTGAAAAAGATACAAGCTCCCTGACTTCATAGAGTATATATTCTTTCAGCAAAGACAGACAACAAAGAAAAAATAAGAAGAAAAGGACAAACTTGAAAGAGCTGTGAAAGAAATTGAGAGGGATGGGAGAGAGAGGAACTGGAGGAGGCTGCCAAAATGGGGTAAGGGAAGGCCTCCGGAGGGGGTGACATCTGTATTGGGGCCAGAGGAACAGGAAAGAGGGGCCCAAGCAAAGAGCTCGGAAGGAAGAGCTGATAGAGCCACCAGAGTCTGAGGAAGCCGAAGAGTTCTGAACATGGATCTCAGTTTTGACACTCCCTGTCTAGTGAGTTCCTCCCAGAAAGCCAATGAGAATAGTCCAGGAACAGCTAGTAGGTGACTTACTTTGGATGAGAAAGAATGAAAAGAAATTTCTGACAAGATACTCAAGAAATCCTTTCTGATAGGCAGTCTGCCTCATTCAGCCCATCACAGAGAAATCCAGAGGGTCAAATGGCAGAGACAGAGTCCCATTACCAAAAGGCACTTTCTTATTAGGTATTAATGTGCTTTTACATGACAAGGAACAGCTGCTTTCATTCATGCCACTAAGTGACACAAGTATGAGTTAGAATAAAGTGAAGAAGTCTTTCTCTAAAGGACATTATACTCGAAATTCCTCAGTTCACAGTACAAACTACAAGAAAGAGAGTGATGGGGCTGCATTTGAAAGCAGCTGGATTTTGGTTTATTTAAATCTTGGCAATCAAGTACAGACCGAAATGAGGCAGTGAAAATTACCAGCAAAAGGGGATTGAATTTCTCCTACTAAGGTAGCAGGGGCTCATCTGACTCACTATTAAACACATAAGCCAAGTTAGGAGAAAGCCCTCAGCTCAACAAGGATACCCCAGCCAAATAGAAAGTGGGTTTTGTCAAGTCACTGCATACAAGCAACCTCACTACATGCTTGGAGTCCTTTAAGAAAAGGTGCATGGGTTGTTGACACAAATGCCTATAGACCTGCTCTGCACGTGAAATGGAAATTTTCGCCACATTGATGAATGTCAAGCTGGGCAAATTATCTAACATCTCTGTACCTCAGCTTCCTTATCTGTAAAGTAGAAATTAATTATAGACCCTTGCTCATATGAAGGCTTTAAATCCTGTCAATCTTACACATGGTGTGATGTATGCATAAAACTTAAAAACAGTACCTGGCACATAGTAAGCGCTCAATAAATAATAGCTATGATAATAATCATGATTATTTTCGTTTTGAGACAGGGTCTCACTCTGTCACCCATGCTGGAGTGCAGTGGCACTATCATGATTCACTGCAGCCTGAAACTCTTGAGCTCGAGAGATCCTCCCACCTCAGCCTCCCAAGCAGCTGGGACCACATGTGTGACCAGATAGTTTAAAAAAAAAAAAAATTTTGTAGACACAGGGTCTCCTTTGTTGCCCAGGTTGGTCTTGCATTTCTGGCCTCAAGCAATCCCTCCACCTCAGCCTCCCAAATGGCTGAGATTACAGGTATAAGCCTCTGGGTCTGGCCAGCTGTAAGTATTAATGTAAATTGCTCACTCTGTGTCCTGTTGTTCAATTAATTAGAATTACAGGTGACCCTTGAACAACATGGGTTTGAACTGCACAGGTCCATTTATACATTATAAACATATACATTTATACATTATACAATTTATAAATATATTGGATTGTGCAGGAGGTGGGTTTACAAAAATAAATACATAAATATATTGGAAAACATTTTGGAGATTTGTGATAATTTCACAAAACTCACAAATGAACTACATAGCCTAGAAATACTGAAAAATTAGAAAAAAGGTATGTCACAAATACATAAAATAGATGTAGATAGGCCAGGCGTGGTGGCTCACGCCTGTAATCCCAGCACTTTGGGAGGCCGAGGCGGGTGGATCACGAGGTCAAGAGATCGAGACCATCCTGGTCAACATGGTGAAACCCCGTCTCTACTAAAAATACAAAAATTAGCTGGGCATGGTGGCGTGTGCCTGTAACCCCAGCTACTCAGGAGGCTGAGGCAGGAGAATTGTCTGAACCCAGGAGGCGGAGGTTGCGGTGAGCCGAGATCACGCCACTACAAACAAAACTGGGAAACAGAAGCGAAACCCCGTCTCAAAAAAAAAAAAAAAAAATAGATGTAGATACTGATCTATTTTATCATTTACTATCATAAAATATATACAAATTTCTAAAAAGCTTCAGCAGAAAGCCCATATATATATATATATATATATATCTTATAAAAAGTTGAAATTTATCAAAGCACACACAGACCATAACACATGGTGCCATTTGTAGTTGAGAGAAATGTAAGCAAATGTAAAAATGCAGTATTAAATCATAACTGCATAAAATTAACTATATTAATATCGTATTACTGTAATTATTTTGTAGCCACCTCCTTTGCTATTGCAGTGAGCTCAAGTGTTGCACATATCTGCTTAAAAGATAAGGCTAACATCTCCACCTGAGCAGTTCTTCCCTCCAGCAAATTGCATATTGCAGTAAAAAGTGATCTCTCAGCATTTTTGCCTATTTTTCACGATGTTTAGTGCAATACCATAAGCCTTGAATAATGCCATAAGACCCATACAAATTGCTACTAGTGGTGCTGAAAGTGCCCCCAAAAAGCAGAGAAAAGTCATGACATTACAAGAAAAAACTGAATGGCTAAATATGTGTCATAGATTGAGGTCTGCAGGTGTGAGCTGTGGTTGACCACCATTGCAAGATTGCAAGATAAATGAATTCAGTGCAAAAACCAGTGTTTTTAAAAAAGGCAAAAACCTTGCACTTTTTTCAAAATATCTTTTTATCTCATATTGAAAATGCAGCTTTTATGTGGGGGCAGGATTGCTATAAGAAATGCATACTTATAGATTCTAACAGGATTCAAGAAAAAGCAAAATCCTTATGTGACAACTTAAAGGAAAAGGAAGATGAAGGATCTAAAGCTGAAGAATTTAATGCCAGCAAAGGATGGTTTGATAATTTTAGAGAGAAGTTCGGCTTGTTATATCAAGACAACAGGATAAGCAGCTTCTACCAACAAAGAAGCAATACATGAGTTCCCAGGCACCATTAAGAAAATCATTGAGGAGAAAGGATATCTGCCTGAACAGGTTTTTAATGCAGACAAAAGTGCCCTGTCCGGGAAAAAAAAAAGTCACACAGGATATTTATTAGTAAAGAAGAGAAGCAATCTCCAGGATTTAAGGCAGGAAGGTAGGCTAACTCTACTGTTTTGTGTAAATGCAGTCAGGTTTATAATCAGGACTGCCCTTATTGTAAAGTTGTTAACCCCCTGAGCATATTCCAGTCATTTGGTAATACAAAAAAAAAAAAAAAAAAAAGCTTGGACAACAAGAACCCTTTTTCTGGATTGGTCCCAACAACGCTTTGCCCCTGAAGAGACTTGATATAACAATATTCTTTTGATATTGGACAACGTCCCTGACCACTCAGAACCCTGTAAGTTCAATGCTAAAGGCATAAAAGTTGTCTACTTACCCCAAACACAACATCTTTAATTCAGCCTCTAGATCAGGGGTTATCAGGACCTTTAAGGTTCATTGCACAAGGTATGCTATGGAAAGGATCATCAATGTTATGGAAGAGAACCTGATAGAGCATTATGAATGTCTTCAAGGATTACACCATTGAAGATGCCAGCATTGTTATAGGAAGGTTGTTATAGGAACCATCTAGCCTGAAACAATAAATTCCTATTGGAGAACACTGTGTACAGAAATTGTACATGGCATTCACAGGATTTACAACAGAACCAATCAAGGAAATCATGAAAGAGATAGTGCCTATGGCAAAAAAGGTGGGGCATAAAGGGTTTTAAGATGTGAATCTTTGAGAAATTCAAGAGCTAATAGACACCACACCAGATGAATTAACAGAAGATGACTTGGTGGAGACAAGTGCTCTGAACCACTGCCAGATGATAAGGAAGAAAACAGAAGAGGCAGTACCAGAAAACAAAGTGACATTAGACAATCTGGCAGAAGGGTTCTGATGATTCAAGACTGCTTGTTTATTTCTTGTATGACATGGGCACTGAGACTAAAGGCAACAGTGGAAGAAGGATTGGTACTGTATGGAAACATTTTTAAGGAAAAAAGCAAAAATGTCAGAAATGATATTTCTATAAATTTATACCTACTGCACCTGCCAATCCTGTCTTCCCTTCCACCTCTTTCACCTTTTCTGACTCTGCCACCCTTGAGACAGCAAAACCAACCCGTCTTCTTCCTCTTCCTCAGCTTACTTAACATGAAAATGAGGATGAAGGCCTTTATGATGGTCCAGTTCCACTTAATAAATAGTAAATATATTTGCTCTTCCTTATGATTTTAATAACATTTTCTTTTCTCTAGCTTTATTGCAAGAATACAGTAAATAATACATAAAACATGCAAAATATGGATTAGCAGACTGCTCAGTAAGGCTTCCTGGCCAATAGGATATTAATAGTTCAGTTTCTGGGGAGTCAAAAGTTACATGCAGATTTTCTACTGTGTGTAGGGGTCAGCACCCCAACCTCTGCATTGTTCAAGAGTCAACTATAGATTATTAGGTTTGAAGACAAAGCTCATGTTGTTTTCATCCTTGAGTACCTAGCATATAGTTTGTCTCAATACTTTTTTCATTATTGAATTAAATCAGAATAAAGCCAAAGTTCATATATCTGCAACATAGCACTCAGATGCACACATTGCTTATTTTGTTTAGTCTGCAGGTTTGGTAGCTATATAGTTGCATATCTGCTCCTTTTTTTGTTTGTTTGTTTGTTTTGAGACAGAGTCTTTGTCACCCAGGCTGCAGTGCGCGGCATGATCTCAGCTCACTGCAACCTCAGCCTTCATGTTCAAGGGATTCTCCTGCCTCAGCCTCCTGAGTAGCTGGGACTACAGGTGCATGTCACCACTCCTGGCTAACTTTTGTATTTTTGGTAGAGATGGGGTTTCACCACATTGACCAGGCTGGTCTCAAACTCCCGACCTCAGGTGATCCACCCACCTGGGCCTCCCAAAGTTCTGGGATTACAGGTGCAAGCCACCATGCCTGGCCGAACATCTGCTCCTTAATTGTTTAAGCACCATAGTCATCATTAGAACACAGTTGACTGTATTTTAACATTACCTTGGTTGAAATACCATCCAGCCATCCACAATGTAATTATGAATATAGGATAAAACTCCACACAGTTTTGTCTGCAAAAAAAAATAATAAAGGCGTAGGTTATTTTATGAGAAAACTATACACTAAAGCATTGACTTTTTTCATCTAGAGTTAACTGTTCAGCCTAGTTTAACAAAAGTAATATAACAACTTACGAAAGAGTTGAAATGACCCTTACATTTAAAACCAATCTTTCAAGGTTGAACATTGTTTAAACCTCAGAGCAGGGCCAAGAATCATTTTCCTACATATAAGTTGCCAGTGTAGAAGTGAGCCATAGCACTTTCCCAAAAGACAGTCCTCCTGAGTCTAAAGATCACTCCATATCTTATCTGAAGAACCTAAGAGATTACTCAATTCATATTCAAGAGATTTCTCGTCTTAAAAATTCCCTCACATCCACTGCCTTCCACTTGAGTTACCCAGAACATTAAAAAACTCTCTTTAAATAATTCCCTTAAAATCTCCTGAAGTGAATGAATGAGCAGATTTCATTCCCATTTTATGAAGAAATAAACTAAGGCCTGAAAGCCCAGACCGACATATATTGCAGAGAATCAAAGATAGACAGTGTCCATCTCCGGATTCCAAAGCCCTGTCCTAATGTCAAGTCCTATTGCCTCTGTTTATAGAAGACTTGGATGGAAAATCTGACACTAATTTAAGCAAAAGTGAATAGTTCTCTGGGAACTATAAATTAATTCATCTGCATATAACAAAGGGGAAAAAGATGAATTACATTTATTCTCCTTCGTAAGGTATACCTCCAAGCGATCTTGGTTAGGTTGGCTGAGCTCTTTGCTGATAATTTCACCACCAGAAAGAAGTTGAATGTAATGTGTGATGAGGTCTTGAGTAGATCCTGGTAGAAGGTCATAGTCTACAGGATTATAAATGACCCCATATCTTTCCTTCAGTAAGCCTCAAAGCTGGAATACTTAATATTACAAGGCAATTGACCTAGAAATAGATGATGCTGGTTGTTGAAGACCGAGGTCATTTAGCCTGGGTCATCGTAAGTGATTTATTTTCTGAATTTAAAAAAGAAAGCATAATTACAAAGCATAATTCCTCCCTCACTCTTCATAATCCCACAGAAAATTGTGGCTAGGTCAGCTCAACCTTATCAGCTTATCCCTCAACTACATGGGAAGAAACTCCCCAATAATAACTCAATCATCTTTTAAAGCTGGGTAAGAAACATGCGTAATTAACAAACTCACTGCTCATAGAAAGACATGGCTGAGGTAGAGTCCTGAAGCACATATGGAAAATTTTAACCCCACCAGCAACGACAACAGTGAGGTTACCCACACACATCTCTAAGGGTCAGGCAGGTGGACCACCAGTCCCCTAAAACATTGGAAATGGATACTGTAAACGCAAAAATGCTTTCTCCTTCCTTTTCTGACTGTTGTCATTACTATCCAAAAGACCACTAGTGACCCAAGGAATGTCTTATCTGAAGTCTAACACTGATACCCTAACAACTTTCTAGAACTCAGAGAAGTAACCAAAGTTTTTCTTCCTGCTGCTTCTCATTTTTGGCATGATTTTGCTTCTGATGGTTGTCTTCTCATTAATATCTTTTTAAGTGGCGATGATAGGTTAAGTGAAAAGATACTTTATAACCTTTGTACTTTATGTTACAGCTATATAAAGAATAAATAGCATTCCCACGTTTCTTTTTCCTTGGCTAAATCCATAGACCTGTTTCCCAGGAGGTAAAATGGAGTAGTAACAGAGGAAGACTCTAGTCCTTCCACACTCACTGAAATTTTATACGCACTTTTTTTGAAACATAACACAATTGTCCCATCATTTATTGTTTTGTAATACAGCTTAAATTATTCCAAATGTAAGCATCAAGTTTTTCTGTATCATATTTTAATTCAAAATTAGGTGTGATGAGATTTATTATTTTATTTATTTATTTATTTATTTATTTATTTATTTTTATTTATTGAAATGGAGTTTTGCTCTTGTTGCCCAGGCTGGAGTGCAATGGCTTGATCTCAACTCACCGCAATCTCCACCTCCTGGGTTCAAGCGATTCTCTTGCCTCAGCCTTCCGTGTAGCTGGAATTACAAGCATACACCACCACACCTGGCTACTTTTGTATTTTTAGTAGAGACAGGGTTTCTCCTTGTTGGTCAGGCTGATCTCGAACTCCTGACCTCAGGTGATCCACCCACCATGGTCCCCCAAAGTGCTGAGATTATTGGCATAAGCCCCTGCACCCAGTCTTGAGATTTTTTTTAAAAGCACCTTCAAAAATAGTCCAAGTTAGCCTTCATAAAAGTCTAATTATTTAGAAGTTTTTCTTTTCAGTGAACTAGTGGCCTTGGTTTGGCATCTAGGGACAAAGAGATAATATTGTATAAGAATATCCTAAGTCCAAACCACAAAGGGCAGAAGCTCTTTGGGTGTCTGTCCACATAAGCTGATAGGCATGTGTGCTTTTGTGTCTCTTATCTGAAAGAGGAAGAAGGCCTTTGAGTAAGGAGAAAGGAAATAAAAGGGATGTTTTATTCCCTCTAACAAACTATAACTACAAGTTTCTAGAAGTTGTAAAGGGAATGTTTTGGGGATCCCCCCTCTGCCCCCACAGCAGAAGCTAGGGAACTAGTTTCACACCTAATGGGAAACCAGAGACCAGAACAGAAACTGATGGATCTTCCTCATGAAAACCTTGGTGAGATTCCAGACACAAGCAGTGCCGTGCCTCAACTGACAGAAGAGACAGAGTCTGGGAAAGTCACACCCTTAATCTCCCTCTGCCGCAAACCCCAGAGCAGCTCCTGGCAGTTGTGGAAGGCACTCCAGAACCCAGGAAGGGTACCATACTCACAGAGGACTCAGGAGCAAAGGAGTGGCATAGCCCCTTCCTTCAACTGCTTGCCAGGAGGGATTGTGTCCCTGGGCACATCCCCTGTATTCCTAGAAGGAATTGGGAAGCTGGAAAGGGAGATGCTGGGATCCTGGGTGAGCACTAGATGGCTGGAAGCCATTGAGATTTAGGCAAAGATGTGATTGCAACTGCATTTGTGCTCACAGGATGGCAACAGCTGGAGTATGGGAGCAGCTCTCTGCACTTTTCTTTCTCAACAAATAGGTTCCTTTGTCCCCTACAAGTGGTTGGTCACTGCTGAGCTCACCCCGTCCTCACGTCCCAGCTGTGCTCACCACACTTTCACCCTGGTCCCTCTTTTGCTGACCTGCCTCAAGCCTTAGTCTCTCGGAAATGAGACTTTGCCCATTTCTTGCTATCATCTTTCAGAGATTGAAAATAATTATCTCACTGCCAGTCGGGTGCCCTGTTTGTTTTTGACAGTATTCCCAGCTCCTGCCCTGGTGAAAGCACCAAGTATTGCTTGGCCTTGAAATACCTGGAATCCCATTCTGCCTGCTCATTGTTACCTCCTCCAGCCCCTCTGCCATGTGACCACATCCTTCTGCCTGATTCTGCATCCCTCCAGGCCTGGATGATGTCCCACGACAACACGTCCTCAGTAAGCTGTCAGCAGGCATGTTTAACTCAAGGGGACCAAACTCTGAGAATTACTTCTTGATAATCCTGTCAGTGGCTAATTACAGCTTCACTGACATGAAAACCAACATGAAAATAATTTATAACCTCTTTTAAGTCATGAAAGCAGATATATTCTATCCTCTTGTTACAGAGGATCCTCAGGAAAATTTCCCAAATGGGACAGCAAACAGCCTGCAGCAGCTGTCAATCTTCACTTCCTGTGAGAACAGGGGGTATAGTTGATTATGACCACTGTCCCCTCTCCTGCATGTCCACACTGAGGGAAAACAGGCTGTGTCTACTTATTCCCTGACAAGAACCCTCTTTGTGCAATAATCCCACGCTCCTTTGATATCGAAGCTTCCCATGAAAGCTATCTTGGTTTGCCTGGGACTGAGGAGTTTAGGGGGACATGGAACTTTAAGTGCTAAAACTGGGTAAGACCTAGAAGAACCGGAAAGAGTTGGTCACTCCAAGGGACAGTCTGTTGGGCACTGTGGAGGTTGAGTAGCTAAAGCCGCTGAGACCTCTCATTGTCCATCCCAATACCATGGAGCCGGGGTCCTGGGGACTCAGGACATAGGACTACTGCAGATTCCAACCTGGATCTGGTAGCCAGGAGCAGTCAGGATGGCCCCAAACAAAGTGCTATTTGGGCCTCGTCTCAGTCAATAGGTATAGTACAAAGCTTATGTTATTTGTGGCAGGGAAAAGAATCAAACTGTGGCCTAACAGCTCCAAATGTGTCAGTTCCTTCAATAATAGTCCCCAAACTTTTCTGATTGCATAGCCCCAACAGTTATACAACCGCATAAAAATATGCACACATCCTCCTGTAGCAGAGAGGCCCACACCAAGGAGCTTCCACACAGGACGAGACTTGAGCAAGACACGAACTTCCATTGTGTTAAACCATGGAGAATCTGAGATTTATCCATTAGCACAGCTAATGCATTCAACTGGAAAAGAATATCATATTCATTATGGGACCAGAAATGCTGGCTCATGCCTGTAATCCCAGGCCTTTGGGAGGCAGAGAGGCAGGAGGGTTGTTTGAGCCGGGAGTTCAAGACCAGCCTGGGTAACACAGAGAGACCTCATCTCTATAAAAAAATTAAAAATTTTTTTAAAAAATTTAAGGCTGGGCATGATGGTTCATACCTGTAACCCTAGCACTTTGGGAGGCCAAGGCGGGTGGATTACTTGAGGTCAGGAGTTCAAGACCAGCCTGGCCAATATGATAAAAGCCTGACTCTACTAAAAATACAAAAATTAGCTGAGCTTGGTGGTGCATGCCTGTAGTCCCAGGAGGCTGAGGCAGAAGAATTGCTTGAACCCAGGAGGCAGAAGTTGCAGTGAGCCAAGATCATGCCACTGCACTCCAGCCTGAGCAACAGACCAAGACTCTGCCTCAAAA